TGGGTCCCTTTTGCTTTTACCCAGAGTTACAACAGTGAAGAAAGAGAAGAAAATAACAGAAGAGCATTTTTATCTGTAGCTTGATCTTTATTTCTAGTAAATTAACCCATTTATTCTCCATTATGTTAGCATACACAAAAAAGTTCAAATTCAGAGGCTTTTCTTTTTTTCCCTAATATATTTATTTTCAATCTGGCACCCTTAGAAATATAATAGACAAAGGCAAGTAGAATTAAGTAATATGATGAATAATTAAAGGCCAAGAAACAAGATTAGCTTTTAGAGAGTTTCTTGGAAGTTAACAAGACCAAAAATGTTGATCAATAAGTCAATATTGGCAACTGTTTATATCCATCAATGATGAGGGAGAACTTTCCAAAGGGATCCAAGTTCATTCTTTTTGGCTAAGATGAGGCTACAATTCACAGTAAAATGCTTTAATCCTCTGAGGAGTGAAACAATGCGATAGTTTAATCCGGCTTCGTTACTGGAAGACTCTGTTGTTGTTTAGTCGCTAAGTTGTGTCCGACTCTTTTTCGACCTCACGGGCTGTAGCCAGCCAGGCTCCTCTGTCCATGGATTTCCCAGGCAAGAGTACTGGAGTGGGTTGCTATTCCTTCTCCAGGGGATCTTCCCGACCCAGGGATTGAACCCATGTCTCCTGCATTGGCAGGTGGATTCTCTACCACTAAGCCACTAGAGAAGCCCATTGGGAAACTTACTAGTGGCTAAATAATGAATTCACTTAATATAAAAATTTACTTCAACCAGTCTCAATTCATATGCATTCAAGGCCGTATCTCTTCCTATGAGTGGCGTTAGGTTTTCTAGAGCTGTCAGTTCCTTACCAAAGTTCAGTATTTAAGCACTGCTTAATTGTACCAGGGTTTTTATTAGATCTTAAAATCATGCTGAAATCTACTTCAATAGATGGAAACATTTTTGTATTAAGATACTTTTCCCATAACAGCTGTATATTTTTTAAAAGACTTATTTACTAATTATTATTTGGCTGCACTGAGTCTCTGTTGCCGCACGCGGGCTTTCTCTAATTGCAGAGAGTGGGGGCTACTCTCCAGGTGTGGTGTGCGGGCTTCTCATTGCTGTGGCTTCTTCCGTCGCGGAGCATGGTTCCAGGGTGCAGAGACTCCAGCAGCTGACGCACGTGGACTCTAGAGCACAGGCTCAATAGCTGCGGCGTGTGGGCTTAGCTGCCCCGTGGCAAGTGGGATCTTCCCGGATAAGGGATCAGACCTGTGTTCCCTGTGTTGGCAGGTGGATCCTTAACTACTGGGCCACCAGGGAAACTATATTTTTGCTTTACCTGAACAAAGACAACTTGCACATCATTTATTTCAAAATACTTCAAGTTCCTGCTACACTTTCTGATTAGTTTCATCATTGTTTAACATAATCACTTATTCTAAACTAAAAAAATAAGTCATATGAAACACAGTCTAAACCTACCTGTAAGCTGTGAGCTAATTTATATATCAGATACTTATTGAAAACTGAAAAAGTGGGGAACGCAAGATTAACGAGGACAATGTCCTTAGCTTGAAAGAGAACCCAGTAGGGGAGTTAGGCTAACAGATGAAAAAGATAACATGACAACATAGGTTTAAATAAGGTTTTAAGGTAACAATCAAAGATGTGCATGTGGTGATGCCTATCAAATATTAATCACTTGGTTTAGAACACTGGCTGGGCTTAAAAAGAGGGAAAGTTGATCAGGCCAGGGTCAAGGTCCCTGGCCAAGCAGGCCCACAGATGCAGTCAGCACAGGCTGAGTTCACTGCAGAATCAGGTCGAAGTTTCAGACTGGAAAGTCTTACTGATAATCAGCTGTCAAAGTGGCTTAACAGAACCTCTTTCCCTGGCAGAGAAGCTAAAGTTTACCCAGCTAGCCCATCCCAGGGCCAGACCTCTGTTCCATACGGAAAAATTAAGCCCAGAGCTGCAATACCGCTTCCACTGTCAGGAAGCCCTCACTGTTAATGTCCATGTAACTAGGTCCCATAGGTAAGTCTGGGTCTCCTCTTGCTTGAGGGAAAGAGCTTGTTAAGATACTACTTCTACCAGCTCCTTGGAGAGGTCCTCTTGTTCCCTTTCTCCAGAGCCATGACTCTCTGGGTAAGGTGGCCCCAAAAAGGAGGATGGAGCAATTGTGAATGGCCACAACTCCTCTCCTCATATATAATGACTATAAAAAGCCATCTCACGTGTCTGAAACTTTCTTCCTCAACAATCTCAGAATAGCTAAAAGCTCTAACGTGATGGAGAGATTACTACAAGAAGCCACTTGGTCTTTCCATGATCAAGTCCCCATGGAGCCAACAAGCATATCTAACTGCTGAAAGCATCAAGGGGCAGTTTGTAGTGAAAACTGTCTCCAGGGACCCTGTCATTTCCCGCAGCACCTGTGGGGTGCTAGTGTGCTTGTCAGTTATCTCCCCTCCAAACAAAATTATTTAAGAAACACGTGTCGATGTGTCCTTCTACCCTGTATCCCTGGGATGTCCCTCTGACCATCTGGACCTTGGCAAAAAAAAAAAAAGAGCCAAGAACTGAGAGCCCGGCCTTCCCCAGCACTCTTCCACTAACTACATTCTTCTGTCTACTCCGAGTGTCCAATTGGCCAGAGGCTTGTGGATGACTGGGGAAGCCTTTAATCATCCAGAAGCCTCTCTGAGGTGTCCTAAGAAATCTGGCTGCTCAGAAACTTCCAGAGAAGGCCATTTAGGCCTTGAAGCCACCTCTGAAGCTAAGAGAAATACCAGATTCTAGGATTGTGGATGGTGAGACAGAGCTACCCATGTGTGGTTCCTGGAGCTGCCTCAGTGAGCCTCCACTTAGGCCTAGGACACATCTCCTGCGCAAAGTGGAGACGCTGAGGGTTCTGACCCAGCACCAGCCCACAGGCCCCTAGGGCTGATCTAGACGATCAGAATGAGTCCTTTTACTTCTTTGCTTTCCAACGAATGCCCCTCCCAAAGCTGGTAAGAACGTGGTTCATAAGAACCTTCCAGGTAATAAGGGCATGTTCCTGGAGAAAGGGGAGGAAGTTACTTGAGTAACTAAAACTCGACATGAGCTCATTCCTCCAGGAGCATCTCCCAGCCAAGTTGTCAGGTCAGAGGCCCGCAGGGAAAAACATCTGAAACAAGAGCCAGGTGGGGTAATCACTTTCCATGTGTGCCCTGTTTAAGAAAAACCTTGGTACTGATGATATGATTCTGAGGTAAAGTCCCACACTGTGGCCCCAAGAAGCATGAACTGCAGTCTTAAACTCAGCAACTGAGGTCAGTGGAACTCTAGTAACAGTACATAGGCTGAGCGCTGAAGAACTGATGCTTTCCAACTATGGTGCTAGAGAACACTCTTGAGAGGCCCTTGGACAGCAAGGCGATCAAACCAGTCAATCCTAAAGGAAATCAACCCTGAATAGTCACTGGAAGGACTGATGCTGAAGCTGAAGCTCCAATAATTTGGCCACTTGATGTGAAGAGCCGACTCACTGGCAAAGACCCTGATGCTGGGAAAGACTGAAGGCAGGAGGAGAAGGGGATGACAGAGGATGAGATGGTTGCATGGCATCACTGACTCAATGGATATGAGTTTGTGCAAACTCTGGGAGATAATGAAGGACCCAGAAGCCTGGTGTGCTGCAGTTCCTGGGGGTTGCAGAGTTGGACATGACTTACTGACTGAACGACAAGTAACAGTTGTCAGATTTAACAGTTATACTCCCAGTAAAAGAGCACGCCTACCATTCATAGTGCTATGAATTCTCCATTACAGAGTTCTGAGAGCTACATCCTGAGACAAACTGGCTTCACTTAAGGAAAGAATCACAGCATAGAGGAAACACGTGGCAACAGATGACCTGAAAGTGACAGGTAAACTACGATTGTTCTTAAGAACAGCAGCAAAAGCTGGTGAGAGAACTGGAGACACGGAAATCTTATTTAAGACTTCAGAGAGTTTAAAAGTGATAACACACCAGTAACTGATGATTCCTCTGACAACTGAAATACCTGTACGTATAACACATAATTGCCAACATCATCAAGGTCAACAGAACCTCCTTGCAACAAAAGACAAAAGGTGTAAAAGTGATCGTTTCCGTCAATATTTTGTTTTCCTTGGGTCAGATTTTTGAAGGTACGCTTGCCGATCATTGTGGAAGAACTCGCTGGACACATGGCAGCTTTGTGGCAGAGGTTACCATGCACTGTCAAACTGTATTGCCCGCTCTGGGAGCCCATGTGAGTCGAAGGGCTTTGGGACCATCTGCCAACCAGGGGAAGCCAAGGATGAACAGTCGGCTTTGGAATTCAATGAGACAGAACTCCCACACCACCCTCCTTGAGGGCAGATATAAAACAGCATTTACCATGCACTTTATAAAGTCATCTGGTTGCCTAGCATTTGCAAGTTGAGACTTAGTTGTGAAAACAAACCATGCAAAAATACGTAAGTTAGTTTAAAAATATTCCCCCTAATTATTAGAAGAAATATTCTACGCACATTCTCTTCCTATCTTGTTGTACAAAATGTCCAGGACAGGCGATCTTATCACCAAGAGTCCAGTTTAACCAGGGTTCATATTGAGCACTGGCCGGGTTCTTGCCTTGGGGTGAGAGCTGAGATGCAGATTACGCTGTGTTCACAGATTGCAGGTGAAAGGAAAAGTCCCAGATAGAAATAGCTGGGTTTGAGCCATCTGTACGGGCATACAGATCTACGTGGCTTTCTGGCTAATAAATACCAAATGAAGAGGCATTTGAGTGAAATCAAAAATACACTGGCCAATAGGGAAGAACAGCCGTATTCAAGTTAGGTAGAACAGTCTCATCAGTCAAAAGCTACAAATAAATCATTTAATATGACCTTAAAGCTTCACCCATCAAGGGCAGTGCTTTGAGCTCGCGGTGGAGTCCTGCCCGCTTGCAGGATTCAAGAGCTCCTGAGGCCGCCCACTCCTACCCCAGACTCACCTGCGAGCAGGTGCACAGAGCTGAAGCTCTTCTCCAGTTTCCCCAGGAGGACAGTGAGAAAACAGTCTGAAGCCAGAGAGGCCACATCCTGGGAGCTCTGATCGTAAACCACAACCTTCTGACTGCAGTCAAGGTCGACCTACAACGTAAATGTGAGGCTGTGAGGAAGGAAGGCGAGGAACTCAAGTCTCCAAACCGCTGCTGTTGGGGCAAGTGAACTACTTCCTGTTTTCATTCATAATCTGAATATCAGAGGGAGGGGATATAGGTATACTATAGCTGATTCATGTTGGTGTACGGCAGAAACACAACATTGTAAAGCAATTATCCTCCAATTAAAAAAAGGTTTTTAAATACATTAAAAAATATTTGAATAAAAATGAGACCTGGTCAATGTACTGGATAAACCAGGCATACAAATGGTTTAAATGCTTGTGAAAATCAACTTTTATACGGCAAACTTGATGCTGTTTCTGTGTAACTGTACTCACAACTCCTTAGTTTTAAATCCATAACACTATAAAAAGGGTATGAAAAGCATGTACAACACAATAGTATGCAACATAAACATAATGATTTTTGAGCTGAAAAAACACTTAAAAGTGATTTCTACATAGTAACATACCAGTTGTTTAGTAAAACTAAAGCATGAACTCATTTTTATTCCTGAACAAAAAAAATTACCTTACCAACCACAAACATGAAATTTTGGTATCCTAAGAAAAACTTGCCTTGAAGATCCTTAACTTTTGATCATTACCTTCCCACAAAAGAAAAGTACTTCTAAAATAATTAGTTTCTACTTCTTTTCCCAGGGCACTTGAAAACAATGACTCCCTTTCATTATGTTTGTAAACAACAAAAAACAATGTGCTCTGTGTGCTAAATTGCTCAGGTATTAATTATTAATAACACATGTGTATTATATTTATACATAATTACTAATTGAGTATTAATAAAATATTGTATTAAACATAACTTATTGACTGAATTAATAAAATAATTTTTTAGCATTAACAGGAAAACATAGCACGTGATCAAATTAAAACAGGTTACACCTTTGTGTACAGTTCAGAAAAATTCTGAGCAGGGACACTATTTAGAATTAGTGAATTATTTCAAGATATCATAAGGTACCAAAGTTTAAAAAAAGCAACCAAAACTTCCCCAAATTACTTTCTCCCCTTAAAAGGAGGCTTCATTTAAAATAGTTCCCCATTCAATATGTCCATTTATTTTCAAGAGGAAAAAAAAACCAGCAAGCATGTACCTTATGTTTGGCTGAGTGCTGGATGAGCTCCGTAATTAACACTTTGTCCTGCTGCAACCTGCGCTTCATAAGCTTGGAGCAGTTGATATTAATGGCTTCCAAAATGTGGGACGTATTGTATTCCACAAATGGCCGGCTATCAATTAGCAGCACTTTTTCCGTTCCACTTTCCAGCAGAGCCACCAGCCTCTCAGTAACAATTTGAGTTCCAATCATCTCATGGGCCATGACAACAATAAGTCCTCTTTTCCCACCTCTTCCTTTAATTTGCCACGATGATGTAATGGTGGTGTGCTCAAAGGCTCAGCCACTCCATTGTACTGAAGTGTATGAGGTCAGGCTGGTGGTGACTGGCAAGAGCAGAGTTAAACCCATTTTCGGCGAGAGCCCTCCAAGTGAATGTGTCTTTCTCTTTCCCGTTGATGTGTTCTCGCAAAGGCCTGCGTCCACAGAGCAGCCCCTCACATTTGATTCATAAAGAGATGACTGGAATAACCATTCCAACAAAAGATGCTTTGGGGCGGCCAGTGCATTACATCATTCTTTACCTCTGTTCTCTCGCTCCAACAGCTTGCCACGGGGCTGAAAAGCCTATACCGAGAGAGAATGACAGACGGAAAACAAAACACGGGGGTCAGAGAAAGAAAGAGCAGCGGATTAGAGGGACTGTATGATTCATAATATTTACTCCATTAATCTAATTCCATACTTGATGCACTGTTTCATGTGAACACACAAACAAAGGACAAGTAGGTATGGCTTCAGAAAACATACTAACAATCATTCACTTTCGCCTCAAAATATAAAAACTCAGAGATGACAAAAGAAGACATAGTCATGAATTATAACCACCTGGGGGCCCAGAACTGATGGACTTATGGTACAAAATTAAAGAGAGCTATAAAAAGCCATTTCGGGTATCTTTATTCCAGATGGGTTTCCTTCATTTTATTTGCTTATTTCTTGAAAACAGCACAAAGAAGAGCAGCCAGGGATCAGGCTATCAGGACAAAAAGTCTTTTCTGATAATGGGTGTGTGTGTGCTGTGAAGATTCCTTTAAACTGCCCTCTGGGAGAAGAGGCAGTAACCCGGGAGGTTCTGTAAATCTCGGGCACCTTTTAAGGAAGACGGGGGACAGAATGACCAACATGCTTGTCACACCAAGTGCTGAACTTGTTGCTGGAGGTCTGTGATGTTCTCACTCCTCTCCTGGCAGACCCAAAGCTAAGACCCTGGCCCGGTGCCCTTCCACCACCCCGCAGTTCTCCCTTTCTTGTACCTCGTTTTTAAGAGTTTCATGGACTCCCAGCCTCAGGAAACTTCCCACCTTCACTGTGGACTCTAAACCTAACAACCCAGGCAGACAGGGCTCTAAATAGTGGCCCTGACACTTCCTATCCTTTAGTCATTGTTCAGTGACTCAGTTGTGTCCAACTCTTTGTGAGCCCATGGACTGCAGTATGCCAGGCTTCCCTGACCTTCACTATCTCCCTACCCTTCCTAAATTCCTAAGACAGACCTTTTCCTATTAACACTAATTGGAGTTTTGTGCCCACCGCTTAGATCTCACCCTGACCTTCACTATTCTCATGTTCCTATCTCCCCAGTCCATCTCTGCTTATAGGAAATGCTCTGCTACTTTAAATGAGATATCCACTGTTGGCATTCAACTTCTGGAGGATAAACTATCTGAGAGCAGATGTTTTGTATTCTATTTCTCACCTCCACAGTGCTGTGCACATAAGGTATTCAATTAGCACTGTTACAAGTAAGTAAAATTCTGTTCTGAAAATGACTTAAGATACTGAATAATTCACATTTGATTAACTGATAATAGAACCCCTCAGCTTCCCAGGTGGGGCTAATGGTAAGGAATCCACCTGCCAATGCTGGAGACTTAACAGACATGGGTTCAATCCCTAGGTTGCAAAGATCCCCTGGAAGAAGAAATGGTAACCCACTCCAGTATTCTTGCCTGGAGAATTCCATGGACAAGGAGCCTGGCAGGCTACAGTCCACGTGGTTGCAAAGAGTAGGACATGATGAAGGGTCCCAAGAGCACTGATCACTCCTCAATCATCACTGAGTCCTGCTTCCCAATCTCAGACATACAAATTATTGGGTTGGCCAGAAGGTTCGTTCGGGTTTTTCCATAAAAGATTGGGTTTTTCTTAAAAAGATCGCCAAACTTTTTGGCCAACCCAATAGGAACTGAAGCCTGGAGAAACAGGAAGAGGTGGGATGGAGAGAGGAGTGGCCTTGCCCTTAACTTCGGACAAATCATACTAACCTCTCAACCACATTCTCCTCATATACAAAATATAGATATATAACATGGGCTCTGTCACCCCACGGAGTTTGTTTTGAGGATGAAATTATCTCAGTTATCTCAAGTGAGTAAGTCAGAAAGCAACCCATCATCACATAGGAGGAAGGAGGGAGAATGCTGCAAAGATGCCAATGGTGAACAAAGCTGCCTTGCAGCTGGAATCTGAAAGACATCCCTCAGCAGATAAAGACAGAAACTCCATCCTCCTTTCGTCCAGCTTCAGCCAGGCTGTGCCCCTTCTTATAAGAGCCAGGGACACAAGGAGTTAGAAGGCACCTGAGGAACCACCTTGTCCACCCTCACATCTTACAAATCAGCTCCATGTAAAACGCGGTTTCTCCGTTTCTCATCTTCATTACAGCAAAGTATTGCTTTTAGTCCAGCCTAAATGGCAGTCAAGCACAAAAGTCATCTCTACTACAACTGAAGAAATCAGAGCAGAGCATTTGTCCTCGTCGATCAACTAACGTCTGTTTGCAAAGCACCTACTCAGGGAGTTTCTGAATCACGTCCTGACTGGCCGGGGACACAGTTCACAGCCATGCCAGGTCCTCTGCTGAGACAGCCCGACTCCCGCCCTCCCCAGGGCTCCTGCTCCTGGGTCACCCTATTTTCTAAGAATCCATTCCCGCAACGAAGCTGCCCTGAGACAGTGACGCGTCTGGTCCATGCGGGAGCCCGGGCGGCACAGAAGCTGGAAACCCGAGAAAGGGAACAAACGGACGCTGACAATGGGCCGAGCCTTGGAGCTGCACTGGCTTCCCTCAATGGTACAATGTCCTCTGGGGACAAAGCAGTATCTGGGTTAGCAGATCCAGGCACGAAGGTGGGAGAAGATGGCAAACACGCGAAAGCTGAGTTAGAAATCTCTTATCTTTGCTTCCCTCCAGCAAACCCCTGGAGAAGGAAATGGCAATCCACTCCAGTGTCCTTGCCTGGAGAATCCCAGGGACAGAGGAGCCTGGTGGGCTGCCGTCTATGGGGTCGCACAGAGTCGGACAAGACTGAAGTGACTTAGCAGCAGAAGCGGCAGCAGCCAAAAGCCGAAATCACTGAAGCTGAAGGCAGCCTGCAGCCAACTGGTCCACCAGGAAGAAAACAGTCACTCCAGATACAATGACTAAAGTCTGTAGTCCCAGATAGAAAAAGACCCTTTTCCTTACCAGGAAGAGGTCTGGTCAAAATGGCCCTGACACGATGATGTAACTGAAACAAATAACGAAGGTGAACTGAGGATAAAATACACCTTTTATGTTGTACCGCAGCCAGCTGGAGCTCTCTGACGGCACCTTTACGGGCACGTCTGATTTCCTGTGATCCCAGGTGACTAAGGAGAGGCTGAGGCTGCCAAGGGCGTGTGGAGGGAGGGGTAACAATAGCCGACAACCTCGTTTACTTGCAGCTAGAGAATCCTGGAGAAGTCTTCACCCTGTGCTACGGCTCTAAGTAAAATTTTATGAGGGGTGGGAGATGGGAGGGACATATGTATACCTATGGCTAATTCATGTTGAGGTCTGGCAGAAACCAACAGTCTTGCATTTGATGCTCTTTCTGAAGAATGTCAACACTCTGAGATCAGGAACGTATCTGCGACAGGTTTGCTCTCAAAATCTTTGCCATCAAGTAGGATTTAAAAGGGCTTCCCTGATGGTTCAGCAGGTAAAGAATCCGCCTGCAATGAAGAGACTCTGGAGACACTAGTTAGATCCCTGGGTTGGGAAGATCCCCTGGAGAAGGAAATGGCAACCCACTCCAGTATTCTTGCCTGGGAAATACTATGGACAGAGGAGCCTGGCGGGCTACAGTCCAAAGGGTTGCAAAGAGTTGGACGAGACTGAGCAACTAAGCACTAAGCGACTGAGGATTTAAAAGATGCCACACGGGACTTCTCTGGTGGTCCAGTGGCTAAGACTCTGTGCTCCCAATGCAGGGGGCTCGAGTTTGATCCCTGGTCAGGGAACTGGATCCCACATGCCACAGCTAAAAGATCCCGTGTGAAGATCAAAGATCCCATGTGCCCAACTAAGACCGGATGCAGTCAAATAATATTTTTAAAAAGGAAAATACATCACTAAGAAGGAAAACCTCTTTAAAAAATGAATAAAATAAAAGATGATAAGACAGTATTTGATTGTTGCAACACCAAAAAGCTCATCTTATCCTAAATCTCTTCAAGAAGTCAACAGGAATAAAACTTTTCAGATGGAACACAGGGGTCCAAGTGTGTATAGCAAACCCCAGACCGAGCCTTGCCCAGTGGACTTGTGCTCAAGTTCAGATTCTCAGAGAATTTATGGAAAGGATAAAATCAGGTCAGAAGTTTACTGTTATTAAACTACAAACTGGTCTTAATTTTTTTTTCCCCTCCAATAAAACTAAAGAAATTGGCAACAAGATATACCAAATAGGCTTTCAGCAGCATTCTACAAATAGAATCTTTTTTAAATAATTTCACCTTTCTCTTTTTAAAAAAAAATATGTTTTTATTTATTCATTTGGCTGCACTGGGTCTTCGTTGTGGCATGTGGGTTCTTGCAGCATGTAGGATCTAGTTCCCTAACCAGGGATTGAACCCCGGCCCCCCACATTGCAAGCTCGGAGTCTTAGCCAACAAACTGCCAGGAAAGTCCTCACATAAACCTTTCTTTAAAATTTGTTTATTTTTAATAGGAAAATAATTGCTTTACAATATTGTTGGCTTCTCCAAACATCAACATGAATCAGCCATAGGCATACATATGTCCCCTCCCTCTGGAGCCTCCCTCCCACCTCCCGTGCCATCCTATCCCTCATTAAAAAAGAAAAAAAAAAAGTGAAAAACCTCAAAAGGGGAAAAAGCAGCCCATGGTGTCTGGAAGCAAGACCATCTTGGACTCCAACCACCTTAGTTCTACATTGGTTAAAGCTACTCTGCCTCATGTGCTGTGGATTAACCCTGACAGAAATTCTG